GTGGGTGGCCAATGATGAGAACTGCGGCATCTGCCGCATGGCCTTCAACGGCTGCTGCCCGGACTGTGAGTCACCGCTCCCCGGCCCCTGGCCCCAAGCGCTCGCTCCCTGCTGACCGCTGTCCTTGCCTCCTAGGTAAGGTGCCCGGCGACGACTGCCCCTTGGTGTGGGGCCAGTGCTCGCACTGCTTCCACATGCACTGCATCCTCAAGTGGCTGAACTCGCAGCAGGTGCAGCAGCACTGCCCCATGTGCCGGCAGGAGTGGAAGTTCAAGGAGTGACGGTGCCCCGGGCTGCGGTTCGGCCTCCGGCTCCCCTCTCCCTGCGGCCTGGAGCAGCAAAGCGTTGGCGCGGCATCGCGCGTGTGCCAGGCACTCGCAGGGAGACCAAGCAGGCACAGGCCGGGCCTCAACACGCTCCGACTTCCCGCAGACACAGAGCAGTTCCCGGCTGCCGTGAGCAGTGCGGATGTGGCTACACGTCTAACATGTTCCCAACATTCGTGCCAGGACCCCAACCGTAGGCAGTGGTGTCCACACAGCACCTCTTCCCTCCGTGCAGCCCGAGCTGGTTGGCTTTTCCTCTGCCCTGTGCCTCGTGCCTGTAGGGTCTGTGCAGCCCCCACTCACCTGGGCGAAAGGGCAGCAGGACAAGGTGGATCCCGTATTGACCTTCCCGTGGCAGCCATCAGTGTCTCCACGAATATGCGAGTCCTTGTTTGGGCACTGAACATGGACACCCCCGTGCCTGACGTTTTAGGCGCTGCTACTGCTGGCTCAGCTCTGCCCAGACCCAGACAGGAACGTCTTGTTCAAACGTGCCAGGAGGCCGAGTGAGTTTAGCTGAACCTTTCCCCTGCCTGTGCCCTGAAAAGCCCTCTCAGGCCTGGCCTGACTCCACCTTCCTCCGGCCTCTGGGAGGGCTCTGGTAGCAGCTGCCTCAGGCTGTTCCTCCTGTGCCTCCATGAGTGGGCATCCCATGTGCTGTTCCCTTGATCAAATGCTCTCACATCCTCTCAGCTGCTGAAGGTTTCCTGGTGCTGCTTGTCACTCTGCATCCAAGCAGGCTGCTCCCATGTGTAAGCAGCCGTGGGAGGCTGTTGGCTCTGTTAGCAAGAGCGCCAATGCTGCCGTGACCTGGAGGGTCAGGGGCTGCAGGCTGGGCACGCTCCTCAGCAGCAGCATCCTGCGCTCTCTGAGTCTCGGCCGCCGGCCTGATGAGACCTGCTCCTTGCAGGCAGCCTCCAAGCAGCAGCAGCGTCGGCTAATTTCCAGCTGCGACGTGTCGGTACGTGGATTGGTTTCAATAAACCCTGGGCTGTGATTCATGGTTCTTGCTGCTCCTTGCTGTTGTGGGCCCAGGGGACCTCTTGTGAAGGCGGCTGCCCGCCCACACGCGCCGAGGGGGCAACTGAGTCCATGCTGTTGCCAAGGACTCTTCCTGGATGTGCAGCCAGGTGGCAGAATGCGACCTGTGGCCCTGCCTTGGCCGTGATGCCCGTCCCCACGCTAGCTGAGCTGACTGCCCACGTCCCACAAACCACCTGTGCTCCCTGCTTCATCCTTGGCAGTGCCCCAGCTATCCCTGCCAAGCAGACCACCTCCAGCTGCATGATGGAGCCTTGGGGGGGCAGGAGAATAGTGCAGCAGGGACCCCTGACCTGGGCTGTGGGGCTGACGAGGGGTCCTGTTGACCAGGGGAGTGATGCCCTTCCATGGGTCCAGCAGCTGGGAGCAGTGGGTACAGGACATTTCAGGGAGGAAGGGAGGGGAGGTGAACCAAGGACCAGGTCTGTGATGAGCCCTAGGGGTGGGGCTCTTCCTGGGTTTGCTGGGAGGGGGCGCTGGGGGCAGCCAGCAGGATGCAGCTACAGAGAATCCTAGAGCCTGGCGCCTAGTCCAGCCCCTGCCAGAGGCAGGATCAGCCCTGTCCAAACCAGGCCAGGCAAACCATCACCTAAACTGCCCTGACACCATCGCACCCTCAGAGGAAGCAGGGGGGGGTGCAGCAGCCATGGTCCTGCTGTCAAAGGGGCTTCATAGACGCTCCAGGGAACCGGGCAGAGGCTGTGCCCCGACTGCAGAGGAAGGCAAACCTCCACAGCTGGTAGGGCGGAGACTGCCTTTGCAAGAGCCCCTAGCCAGGACCTTGCGGGGTTGGTCCCAGCAGGAGCAATGGCACGGGCCAGTCCCGGCTGCAGCAGGACCCAGCGCCTCGGGGAGGCTTGAAGGCGCCCTGACGCCCTATCAAAGCCCGCGAAGTCCGGCCCAGGCCCGTGCACCCCTCCGCGGGCCGGGCGCCGGTAACCGGCGGGAAGGTGCCCCGTCCCGTCCGGGCCCTGCTCCGCCCGTGCCGGGA